TGCCCTCTCTGCTCCATCTCCCTTTGCCCCATGCCAGCCAGCGCAGGAGTCTTCAAGGCAGAGAGCACAAAGTGAGCCAGCGCATGCAGAGGCGCAGAGAAAAGGAAAAATGCCCATAGCATCTCATGCAGAGCCAGAAGGGCGACAAAAGGACGAAGACGTGATTCAGCTCTTAGCTGTCTACATCTCCTCATCTGAGTCAGAAGAGCCTCTGTCTTCTTCTATAGAGTTTTCCATGGACACTACTGCTCCATCAACAAGAGGGCAAGAAGAAGAAAGGTGGTGGTCGTAAACGTAGTTGATCCATCACTCACGGCCATCCCTGTTGCTGTTCCAATAGAAGGTGTCACAATTGCTACTCCTCCACCTCAAAAGAACACGTACAGAGCTAGGGTCCCTACTCAAGGGACCAGAGTAGTCACTCCGGCTATGAGGCAGAGGGTTCCTATCAAACCAACCAGACTAGAAGAAGGCGCAAGCAGCAGGCCTCGGAGCTCCAAACATCCTTCTGATTGTATTCAAAAGATCAAGGTTAGTATGGATGCAATGATGACGCCCACACCCCCTCACAAACCAATCAAGGACAAGGCAGATAGTGAAGACATCTACCAGTTCCTCTACAACCTGCGAGATGAGACACCGGTCATCAAGATCAATCTTCATCCAATGGTCCAAGAGAACATCAGGCAGAGGTTCCTACATTGCTGCACACAGCCTATCTCTGCAGTCCATTCTGTCAATGGAATCAAGGAAATCCTCGACGTCAAGAAACGTACCTTCACGCACAATCAAATCGTCTTCCATGAGTATATGGTGGAGAGGTCTCGTGGACAGATTTGCACGTTCACACATTGTGATATAATAAATCTAAATCCATGGGACCTTCTGACTCTGTATATCTTCACGGATCATAAGAAGGACAAGGGGCTCAAATTTGTTGTGGCCAATTCTGCGATAAGACAGACAATGACAGACCTACTCGACTTCAGATGCAAGTTTGACTTTCAACTGGCTATGGACTTGGGAATTGATCAATTGAGCGTCACTGCACCAAATGAAGATCTACAAGGCATCAACAGCATTCCCTCATGGACCGTGTTGGTGGAACCACAGCTAGGAGTGGTCTTCCGAAACGAACAAGGAAGAAAAATATTTTTTCGAGAAGACCAGCGCCTCAAGTACTCAAACTCTACTCTGGGCTACATCAGAGATTATTTAATCAGGTTCAGAGATACCTCCCTTGGAGCAAAAAAAAGAGCAAAAATTATCCTAAGGTCAATCCACAACTTGCTAGAGTTTTGAGAACTTCTTAGGAGGTTCATCAAACTTCAACACATCTAGGCCTTATTTTTCTATCTTTTCAATCAATGTAATTTTCTTTTATCGTATTGTACTTTTCTAGATAGATAATGTAAAACAGAGGTTTCTTTTAACCTCAGGCTTTGGCTAGACTTATGTTTTTCAATTCAAGTAAGAGCTTGCCTTATTTACACTTAGGGGGAGATTGTTAGACCTCATCTTGTGAAAGTGTAAGTAAGAAGTCTCTTACTCTAGTCAATAGAACATAGACTATTGAAGCGGTCTGGACTAAGAGCTCTCATGTAGAAGAAGTTAAGAACCAGAGCTCTTACTCAAAGAGTGAAGGTTCCCTACATACAGAGCCCGCGCTCAATCTCCGTGGACGATCAAGCCTTATGCGCCAAAAAGCATAGGCGCTTGATGCAAAGCTACAACTCCAGACACAAAGCCTCTACATAGTACATGCAGAGCCTCTGCATATGTAGAACCTTTGCATAGTACATGCAGAGCTTCTGGTCTCTTTACTCAATGGAATGCGCGTGTAGTCCAGATATTCTCGCAAGCGTAAAACAGAATCAAGGCGACTTGACTTGGTCTGCTCCACTTTTCAAGGGAAGTCAAAGATAAGGACGCGGACTTGGCAACTCAGAGATTGCAGCCATATTTATAGCATAGTTGTTTGACTTAGGCGTATATAAGGAGGCTTCCTCTTCAGGTTCAAACAACCTGAGAGTGCCGACTTATACTATAGCTTATTTATTGTGAGATTACATTTTAGATTGAAAGTAATTATTTTCATCTAATAAAGCATTCGACATATTCAAGTCTTTTACTGTTCTTATACTTTTTGAATATTTCGCTTGTTCATACTCGGTACACTGTTTGTATTTCAATCTTATTATTTATCAACTGTGTTTTCTGAGAATTAAGAGTATATGGGTTCCAACACTCTCAATCTAATTGTATTCTCACAAAAACTCTCTATTCTGGAGCGTAGTCTAATTTGGCAATTTCAGGTAACTAGTAACTTGAAGAGGATGCCTCCTTTTATATGACTAAGCTAATCAGAATCCCCTAGAATCCTGGCTTCGAACTTTTGAGTTCTTGTTCCGCGTTCTTAGCATTCACGTTCCTTGGAAAGTGGAGCGCACTGAGTCAAGCGTTCTAGATTATGTTAGGAGTCTTGCAGAAAAGTCTAAACCGAGCACGCAAACCATGGGAGTAAGAGACTCAGAGGCTCTATGTCTTGAGTGATGCTCTATATCAAGTACTTAACCTTTTTGACGTTTAAATCTTGATCTTCCACGGGGTAGAGCACGGGGCTCTGTATATGAGACACTTAGCTCTTTGAGTAAGGGCTCTGTCTCTTGATATCTTCTGCATAAGAGCTCTTGGTCTAGACAACTTCAAAAGGCTAAGTCCTAAATGACTAGAGTAAGAGGCTTCTTAATTACACTTTTAGAAGTTGGGATCTAACATCTTCTACTATATATCTAGATGATCTATTTAAATTCATTTTTAAATATCTTTAAATCTTATAAAAGTATAATGCTTAGGAGAATTGTCTTTAATATTTGTCTTTTTATACTAGTTTATAAAGATAAAGAACTAGTTTGATTTGTTAAAGCTTTAATATTGTCTAAATCAAATAAATTTGGGTAATTTTGTTTATCTAAATTTGTTAGTGAAATTATCTAAGGTATTTGCCAAATATCTTACTTCTGATTTTTCTATCTTGGGTTGACTAAGATTCTCAAAAATATTTTATTTTGTTTTTTTTATATAGTTTAGAATAGAATGCAATGTTTTTATTTCTCTATTTAATAAAGATAAGGTGTTTTATAGACAAAAGAGTTGTTTTTTTTTTCTAAATTCCCAGCTAAGTTAATTAATAAGTCTAATATAGTATTTTTGACTTGGTTCTAGAAGGTAAAAACTGCGTTGATGGTCTTTTTTTTCAAAGTTATACTTAAACTTGTATCTATCTCCTTACGTCACAGATATTTATTTAAGATCGATGATTCAAGGCCTACGTAATCCAATTTTTCATTTTCTAGTTTTTGTATTTTCTAAAATAAGATTATACCACTGCAAATATTTCAAAACAACAATGATAACAAATTATAACCGTATGAGAATTTAACAAATAAAATTGGACAAAACAGAAGATTAAATTAATCTTTTTATATTTTTCAAGGCAACTACAAGATAAAAAGAAATAAAATCTACTATAATTATTACTTATTTTTATTCTTTATTTATTTATTTTAACAGTTTTTAATACAAAAATTAATATGTAGTTGAATAAGAGGAAAGAAAATAAGGAAAATTGTAAGTAAACAAAAATAAAATGTGACCTTAAATGTTACTCTAATACCAATACTGATGCAGCGTAAACAATAAATCTGCTATACAAATTAAAAAAAAAAAAAAAAAAAAACCTATTTTACCTGAAAGAACAAAAAATATTGAAATTAATATTAATATTAATATTAATGTTAATATAGTTCAAGAAATGGTTGCTTGTGTTTGTGTTTTGAAAAATATTAATAAAAATTCTATTAGCAAATAAAAAAATATTTACATAACCTAAAAATTATGTTAGCTCAACATAATTATTTTTGTAAAATATTACATCTATTCGATTTGTTAATTTCAAGTCAAGATTTAAGTAGAGATGTTAATATATATACACACATTAGTGGTGTACCTGTGCGATACAGTGCGGGTAAATCACAATTCTCAAATATTAGTCTGCCCAAAATTATGAGTTCGTGTGGTTATTTTGCAAGTCATGCTGAAACAGTTTGTGAATCACAATCGTCTGTTGTATTTCCTTCTTTTCTGATGAATTGCATCATCTTTTGTAGAAAAAAGCCTCAAGCTGTCACTCTACACTCACTAAGACAAGGTTGGAAAGAGGACTAGACAATGATGCTGCTTAAGTTAACTGATATAACTACATTTCAAAAGTATAGTCACTTTTCTTGTATTTTGTGTGGTGGTACAGTGAGTATACTGATTGAATATAGGGGATGATAGTGTTTTTCTCCGGTCTGTTATATATGCCTTTGATAGTGCTTGTGAATATCAAAAGCTGATTTCTATGTTGAACCAATTTTGCTTCTTGGAGATTATTATATATATGTATAAAGATTCACCCCATCTTTTTTACAAGAAACACATTTTGATTCGTTTAAGAAATAGAGGGCCTAAGTTTTCAAGGCCACAAGAAGAAGAAACCTACTATGGAGTTGGCACAAAGGTAACCAAAAAATGAACTGCTTTGCTGTTCAAATAGTACACAATCAACTATCATCTGATTCAATAGGGCATCCATCAGATTGATACATTAGTTTCTAGTAGACCATCACAAACGGAAGCATATAGCCAAGGGACAATTCTACCGAAAATAAACTGATTTGACTACATAGTCTACATTATATTGCAACAAACAATACAAATTAGAAGCTAGAAACTATCAGCAAAACCAGTACCAATATATGGTTTTGCCCAGTACATGTTTAGAAATCAAAAGGGTCTAATCACATATAGTTTTGCTAGCAGGAGGAAGTTTTATTTTACAAAAATAACAGACGACTCAAACTGGATGGCAATCGAGGAGGAAAAATTGCATTTAATCAAGCATATTTATTCATACAAACATAAGAGAAGATACAAAACAATATTAACACCACCAATCAAATGATCGGACTTTAATCATTTGCAGCAATCTAATAAAGGTAACACTCAAATCTCCAAAATGATTACACATTGATGACAGAAGCCAAACAATTCTAAAGGTACCAAATTTCACTTTTTAATGTCAATTTGAAGTCGAACAAACAAATTCCTCTTAATACGGGACCAAGGAGGGTTAAAACCCATATGAAAGTAAGATTATAGATGGAATGAAAACAATAAATTTAAGTGAACTCAGGATAATATCAAAGAAACATACAGATTAGCAGAAGGCCCTTTGTTGCAACAGATTCGAGCGCAAAGTGACGTGACGATTCTGATAACAACGAAATCAAAGTTGATAACATTGGCAACCTGTGGAATATCCAGCCCTCTTAAGCAACATCAGTCGCAACCAAAATTGGAGTTCCGCCACTTTTGAATAATTTCAGCGCTCTTTCCCTTTCCTGCATCAATTTGCATTACCTTAATAGGAGAGGAATTCATAAACAAATGCTCAATCAATAGTAAACCCTCAAATAAAATGCCAGAATCTCAAATATTACAAGTAAAATGGTTACAAATGTTTATGCATTACAATGGTTACAAATGTTTACTTAAATGCTTACCTAGTAAGCGCTTAAGTGTAAAATTCAACACCATTACTTACCTTATCGGGTAAGATTCTAGTTCATCAAAAAGGCATTGTATGCAACAATTTTTCCGGTAAGTGCTAACCGGGTAAGAGTCGTCACATTCACTTATCGGGGATATAATGGTTGTTAAAGGCATGCTTGACCGTATAAAATGACAACAAAAAAATAACATCAAAATGTATAACAAACCACGAGAACTCGAAGTATAAATTCACAATATACTCACATAGATCCAGCAATAACATTCCCTTGAAAGAAACATAGTCCTATGGTGACTCCAACTTCAGGGCCCAAAGCGTGACCAATGAGATAGTAAGGCCCCCCGCCCTAGAGGTGAATAGATCAAACAGTAAAGACCAGTATAAATTTCATGCTAATTAAATATGATTATACATATTTGAAGAAGCTATATTTCATGAACAACGTGGAGAAAACAATTGCCATAATAATGCACATTGCATATCCCTTAATGCTGGTACTTACAGAAGCCTATGCAAATTCAGACAATAGGCAACAAGGAAAGCAGAAAGTAATGAGTCTCCACCTTCATTGCACCTTTAGTTGCAATTTCACTCAATGATACTAAAGTCAAGAAAGTACAAAATCCACACAACGCAACTACTGCTAGGGATCCACCTATGCCAGCCATGCCAACAATCCTGCATTTCAATTCTTATTATGGTAAGAAGTCCTACACACATGGTCAGGGAAGATCTGAACAAAAATGAAGAAAATAGAAAAAGAAGCACTGATGATTTGTATATACATTGTGAATAAAAACCAGGCAGAGGATTCAACTCAGGATATCATGCCGGACAGTTTAAGATGTCTCACCCGAAAAGAAAAAAGAAAAACAGATCATAGAAATATGTGAGTGAAATAGATGCTGAAAATGGTTGTATTATCATCTTGTGCTAAGCTGATAAGTGAAATAGATGCCGACTGAATCAACACCAGTCATAGGCAAGCCCAACCCGTTTATAGGGCGGTAAAGGCAGGTTATTCTGCCCGAAAAAACTGGCTTCAGTTTGCTATATTAAGCCTGTTGGACAAAATATCAGGTTCAAGTATTTCCAGGCTTGGGATGGGCACGGTTGGGCCTCACCTCCTCCTTACCAGCTAGGCTAAAACCGCTGGACCACATGTCCATACTTGGGTCAATGGAGAAACCAAACTTGCTGTCCACCTCAAGGAAAGTAGCAATTAAGAAGCTCAAGTTGAGCCTCCAAACTGCAAAATTCTTTCAATTACTTTTAAAGGTTTCTTTGACAAACTGAAGAATCAAAATAATCTCAAATCACTGAACTCGATGGTCAATTCAGAAAACGTATTCACGTAATATTCAATTATCTAAATATGTTACAATAATCATGTAAATTGCATATAAACCTGCAACCGAGTAAGCAAAATGCTCATGCTCGTGCACTTCCAGACTCAAAACTGACAGAATAGTGAAATGAGAAGGATCAAATAGTAATGTGTAACAATTGTTTCAAAATCTAGGCCATATGCACATATGATCAGACATGTTATGTGTGAATACAAACAGTGCATAGATGCTAGATAGCAAACATCAAATGAAAAAGAATGTGTTTGCTTCAATTTCTTGATATGGAGAGATGGAGAAACTGGAAGAAAGAAGAAAAAGCAATACCAGAGTTCAATTACATCTTATCTGGTTCAGATAAGATCCTCTCGATTTCTTCTAGAAGGCGTTGTTTTTCATCTCTCATCTCTTCATGCTGCTTTTGAAGCTCTTCAATCTGCTTGGTCTGTTCCAAATCCTTCCTGAAATGTAGCTTTTTTAAATAATGCCACTCGTAATAAATTAATTTCTTCTGATCGGTACTTCTTTTGTCCAGTTTTGATACTACAACAAAATCGACTTTATAGGATGCCAAACATGTCTAAATGTTCTAATAGTCTCCCTTATATGATTTAAGTTTATAGGACCAAACAATTGTTTGTCCTACATATATAAGTTACAATAAGTTGATAGCACACTTTTGGGCTTCCCAACAAGTTCTCAAAGATACTTTGAAGTAAAGCGTCCAATTAGTCCTTATGTCTTATGAAAACAAGTGTCACATACAAAGATGAGTTCATAAGACACTTCTCAATAGTGTCATATAAAAAAGCTAATAGGACACTTAATTTCAATAGTGTCATAAAAAACTTGTTAGGACATCCAACAGTGTCGTATCAATTTATTGTAACACTTTTACGTAAGACGCACAATTGTTTGGTCCTATAAAGAAGTGTATTAGGACATTTAGACATTTTGGTATCCTATAAAGTCGATTTTGTTGTAGTGCGAACTAATATCCAACCATTTTGCATTCATCCCAGAGCCCGTGAGGTGTCAATCAAGTATCAATATTATTAATATGTATAAGTACCTATTCATGAAAGCCAGGTTAAGTTTAAGTGAGCGCACTTCCTTCTCAAGATTTTCACAGCGCTTCGAAGTGACTGCATGTCAGATGAAGTTGCGGGTGTTTGAGTTCTTCCCTTAGCTTCTGCCATTCTGCATCATCAAGACCACATCATGTCAGTGAATACTACTTGTTGCTTTAAACATGCTCCACGAAAATATCTTCCTTCCTGTACTGAAGTTAAAAAAATCCGATTTTTCTTTTTCTTCTGTCTAAAACGGTTAAGTAATTCCCACATGAGACTTTAACCCACAACCATCAGGTTGAGGAGAAAGAAAGGAACCTGAATACCATCAAGCTAGACGCAAGACACTTGCTGGTAACAGAGCATAATCTCTGTTGATTAAGACTTGGAATAATTGTACATGATAGAGATCTTCCCTCCGTCCTAAATTAACCGAAGAAGTTGTGAAGAAAAAGATGAGAGAAGAAGAAATGTGTTTATATATATACATGGGGGCCAATTCATTTGAGAACCACTAAAAACTTAAGAACTGTGGGAACCTGTATATTCATTGAAGCATATGCACTAATGAATTTCAGTGAGTATATGCATCAATGCATATGTACTTCCATACATGGTAGATGTGTATCGATGAATATACTCATTGACGGAATGCATATTTTGATGGTATATATGCATAATGCATCAACGAATATATAAGTTCTCATGGTTCTCACATGAACTTGATCATATACATATATATATATATATATATATATATATCCATGTATTTTCAAATTCTGTACTCTTGAGCAAATATTGGACCTAGGAAAGCCCAAGAAACTACAAATTTATTTGCATAAATACATCGACTAATCCCATGGGGCCTTGAAGATAACAATTAGGAATATCCAAACTGGCAACCTATGGGGGGAGCCCCAAGGCCTAGCCTTTATTTGTGAGTTGAGCTGGCCCTCAAGGCTAATATAAATCAACTTTTAGATGTTGAGAAAATGGATGAAGAGATCATGTTTACATGATTCTTCAAGCATTAATACCTTAACTCGGAGGAACGACTTATTATCATTGGTTGACAACTATGGAACCATGCCTGCAGGAAAAGCGAGATTTGAGATAACCCTAGAAGCCATTGACAGAAATCTGTACAGAGTCTCATGATTAACAAACCTTAGCCAAGTTCGTCTTCAGTCTGTGCAAGTGAGACAACATCCTGATAAAAGAGACCCGCAAATTTCACAATCAGATGAATCTAAAGGCGAAGCTTGGGTACATAACATACATCAAAAGCCACCGTTAAGAATGGGTTTTTGAGTCTTTTGATGAATAAAAAAACCCAGATTTGTGCCTAAGTTAATTCATTAAGGGTCACTATCTATTCCAACATTCACCAAAAGACCAGATGTAAGTCTCCCATCAACATTTGTCTGGATTCAATCTATAAAAATTTCTTTTACCGAGCTTTAATTATCTGATTCAAAGAAGGGAGGATCATCAAAGAAGTAAAGTGTGTATCTTTCTTCCAGACCTCACCAAAGAAACATGCAGCAGCATCCAGACCAAAAACAGACCCTCCTCCTCTAAACCACTCTACAGGTAAAAAAAACTAAATCTGTCCACAAGCCCTTTCAGATCGAACTCAAATCACATCAAGCATCTCAATTTATCCCATAACCATCTAAATATCAGCATTTGATGAGGTTTAAACCAAAAAACAACAGCCCTTTGTGCAATAAAACTGGTCTGGAACACTTTAAGAGGTTTAATACCAAAATCATCACCACAACAATAATTGATTGCAAAGAGCAGCCTCCAAATGATAAAAAGAGCAAATTGATCCCAAACAAAAATTTAGAATCCCACTATTCAGATAAGAGACTACCATACTGAAAATGAAGTAGCCACACTACTACCTTAATGCCTATATTTCTGTGACAGAATTGGCAGTCGGCAGCTCCTCCAGCCATTGTACCCAACATATAAGGGTTAATTTCTAATGATCTTCTTCACAGATTGAGATGCAAGAAGAAACCCTCATTGAACAACTATGTTCATGTTTATTTACAAGTCAGCAAATTCCTCCTCCTTGCACCAAGAAGCATAATCCTAAAATCTGTTAGCATGCAACCAGTTCATTTACAGTTCTCACCATCAAAGCTACAAACTTTCAAAAGAAGGTTCAAGTCCTCCAACTTACAAAGAAATTGAACATAAACTACCACATTTGAATCTTCTATTTTAAGACTGAAGAAAGCATGAAGGAAAATTATTTCCAAATCTCAAAAGTCATGGAATACATAAAGGAGTAAAACAAGAGAATAAGTTATGCAAATTTATACCATAGTTAAACAAACAATGTTTCTTGAAATTCATTTATAGACCAACAACATTAATTAAAAGAAATGACAATTGCACCAGATGCAATCAATAAACCAATGTCCCAACTCATGATTTTCTTACAAAAATTTATTAATGCTACGTCTTCCTGTTATCTTACAAGATCGAGGTGCCTAAAAATACTGTTAACATCAACAGTCGGAAGAAGTCTAGAACAAATGGCTAGTTTGCCTCCATATATGCTTACTTTAGTAGCACCACCATTAGATTGAACAAAAAAAGAATACTAAACATATTCAAGAAGATTTCACCATCTTACAGACCAACTGATGATAGAATAGAGCAAATTAATTTAAAGTACGAATAAGTTTTAGCAGGTGGTGCCAACTATGTTTTTCATGAGGGTGTAACTCACTTGTTGCTTAGAATGAATTGCTTCATTATCTATTCTCCAATAGATCCACAACTCCCAAATTTATTTATCACTTTCCCCATCAACGGAATCATCCAATTAGCCTTCTTTTCTCTTGCATTTCAATGTGATTGCTTTTCATATTCTTCTGAAACAAGGTATTATTTCTTAACTCCTTACCATGAAGTAAACTAGGCAGTAATAGCATTGATGAAGGTTACATATTATGGGTTTATATTTATTAGACAGAAGGTGACACCTAGAATCCTAGATGACTCATCTAAAATCTATACAACTTGTTTGTTATGAAAAAAACTATTTCAATCTAGCAACTTCACTTTGATATTTAAAAACCTGATCAAAACCAAATTATGTTGAAAAAAAATCCAACTAAACATATTAAATAGTACAAAATTTTTCCAAGAACATGCAGGAACATGTGACAAAATTATAAGATCTTAATACACCAAGCTCGTCACATTATGTTACAGCTAATACCGCACCAGAATTGATGTCAGATTAGCAGCAACATCACAAATTGGACTCCACTGATTTTGAAGGATGTCCAACCATATGCTTCCATCTGCATAAACTGGTAAGAAAAAAGCTTATGAAAATAAGAGATCATAAATAACACAAATATATAAAAGCAAAATGCATAATGCAAAATAATTAATCTGGCTTTCCATCTTCAAAATCTCAAGGTTCGAATATGTTGAAAACTGGCTTTTGTTCGTACTTTAAAGCCGAATTTGTTGCCTACTGCAGAAGGTTTTTTAGGTACAAGAGTCTATGAGCAACAAAAGAAGAAACAAGTGAACAAGAAAAGAAGAAATCAAACCTGTTGTTGTTTAGCACGATGAAATCGAACTCAACTCCGAAGCTTTTGTTGAAAGAAAATCAGAAATCGAACTCCATATATGAAATTGAACTCCAAATCGCCTGTGGTTCGTGCGTTCGTGGTTGATGGTGGCTCATGGTTGGAAGATGTTGAAAAGTCGAATGGGACGATAAGGTTGGGGATGAGGTGGGGGCACTGCCGGGATTTGGAAAAGCTTTTGATATTGCTGTTTTGAATTTGAACTTTGGTTCAAAAGAAATACTTTGAAGCGTCTTGGATCTTCAAATAATGAATCTCTCTCAGGAATCAAATCTGTTCTGGAAAGTTGGAATAGTAATCAACGTTGAAGAAAAAAAAGCTAAGCAGAGGGAAAACAAGCTCTGCATCATACCCAAAGGGGGGGAAATTATGGTGTCAAAGTTGTTTTTATTCAATGCATAACAAACTATTGCATCATGCTTTATGAGTTTCAATTAAGAGATTTTTAAAATTGTTGCATAAAATGGTTATAACTTGTGCTTAAAGGCTTATACTTAAGACTTTAGTTTAAATGGTTATTAATGTAGTATGGATATATGTGTATATATAGAACGTTTCAAATGCAACTCATCACATTTATACAAACAATACAACTCAATTAATTGAGATATTTATAGAAATAATGAGATTTCATTTATTATGATTTGAATATATATGGAAGATACTAAGGTTCATTAATTAAGATCAATAATTTATATTAGGAAACAATTAAAACTTTTATGAAATCACATATTTATCAAACTAAATGAACGGTTGAGATTTAGTTGTATTGATTGTAGAAATGTAAAAGGTTGCATAATAACCCACCTTTCTCTGTCTATATATTTATATATATATTCATGATGCAATCTAGACAAGAAAGGTGTAGGTCTCAAATCATATGATTTGATAATAATAATAAATACATCATATTCAATAATTAGAAATATTATTGATATTTAGTCTTAACAACCGATATCTCTATCGGATACATTTTAACATCCGTATTTTCAAGAGATTTGTCTGGATATAATAATTCATCCAAATAAAACATCCAGATTTAGATATATATTCGATTGATCTCCAACATCCAGATTGAGATATGTGTCCGAGTATGATCAATCAGATATGTCTTTTTGAAATTTAAAACAGTCCAAAATCCGAAAGCATGAAAACTCTGGATTCTAACCAAATCTGAATTATAGTTTCGATTATGAAGTTTCTTTGGGATCTGAAACATTTTCCATTTTAGCTGGAATCCGAAATATAACTGATTATATTTTGTAGAGAAAATAAAATAGGATTTTGTTTATATAATTCTATTATTACCTGTACTGGTACAAATACAAAATGCCTTCGATAAATCGAAAACTAGTTGAAGTGAAGCAAAGATAGTCCCTAAAGTGGATTGGATTATCATCTAGTCAATTAAAGATCAGTACAATATAAAGTCAAAACTAGTCTAACAAATACTACTTTTGGCAAGCCGATTTTTGAGTGCAAACTTAACCAACAAGTTTGGCTCACCAGCTATAGCAACTCTCGTCCCGATATGAAAACATACTCAGCAGTAGTACATGCAGAGGCTCTGTAGTCTTGGATTTAATAAGATGAGTAAGAGGCTCTATCTCATGGACTTAGACAAAATAAACAGATATATGCTCAATGTGTGTGCAGAAGCTCTTATAGTGCATACAGAGGCTCTGACTTATTATTGAAGATTGAGCATACCCAACTTGCTGACCAAGAAATTAAATCTCTTTTCATCGAGAGCCTTGGTGAATATGTCTGGAAGTTGGTGATCTGTGTTAACGAAGAACATTTTGATCGTACCTTTCTCTACATTGTTCTTGATGAATTGGTATTGAACATCGATGTGCTTTGTTTTAGAGTGTTGTAATGGATTAGCAGTGATGGCTATTGCGCTTTCAGAGTCAAACATAATTGGAATTTTGTCAAACTCAATGTCGTAGTCCTTGAGTTGAGTCTTCATCCATATTACTTGGGAACAACAGCTGACTACGGCTATATACTCTACTTATGCATTAGATGTAGATACACAGTTCTGCTTCTTGGATGTCCAACTTATTAGCTTGTTGCCAAGCAGTTGATAGTTCCCGGATGTGCTCTTTCGATCAAGTTTGCATCCTGCATGATCAAAATCTATATACGCAATAAGATCAAAGCCATAATGCTTAGGATACTAGAGACCCAAGAATTGAGTCCTTTTTAGGCATCGAAAGATTCTTTTTAAAGTTGAAAGGCGAGATTCCTTAGGATTAGCTTGGTACCTAACACACATACAAGTGGCAAACATTATGTCTGGTCTACTAGTCGTGAGGTACAACAGTGATCTAATCATTCCACGGTAAGTCTTAACATCCACCGGTTTTCCAGATGGGTCTGTGTCAAGCTTAGTGCTTGTTGCAATTGGTGTTCTCATGGTGGAAGAGTTATGAAGGTGGTACTTCTTCAAGATTTCCGAGACATACTTGGCTTGGTTAATGAAGATACCATCTTCTCTTTGTTTTACTTGGATCCCGAGGAAGAATGTTAATTCTCCCATCGTGCTCATTTCAAACTCACTCTTCATTAATGCAGAGAACTTATCAAAGTGTCTCTGGTTTGTTGAACCAAATATAATATCGTGCACATATATCTAGACTAGAAGCATCTCACCCTTATGCCTCTTAATGAACAAAGTGGTGTCGATTTTATCTTTTTCGAAACCATTAGATAGAAGAAAAGATGAAAGACGTTCATACTAGGCTCTTGGAGCTTGCTTGAGTCCATACAGAGCTTTGTCTAGGTAGTAGACATACTCTGGGTGTGTGGAACTCTCAAACCCAGAGGTTGTTGCACATAGACTTCCTACTTTAGCTTGACATTCAGAAAGGATGACTTTACGTCCATTTGATAGACTTGGAATCCTTTATGTGCAGAGAAGGCTAGAAACAGGCGTATAGTTTCTAGCCTTGCAACTGGTGCAAAGGTCTCGTCATAGTCTATGCCTTCTTCCTAGCAGTAGCCTTTTGCAACAAGCCTGGCTTTATTTCTTACTACTATACCATCCTCATCCTTCTTGTTCTTGAAAACCCTTTTAGTACCGATAGTAATTTTATCCTTTGGCAAAGGAACGAGATTCCATACCTTGTTTCTTTCAAATTGTTGGAGCTCTTCTTGCATGGCATCGACCCAACTAGGATCTTGTAGGGCTTCATGAACTTTCTTTGGCGCTACCATACTTAGAAAGTTTACGAATAAACTTTCATTGGTTGTGGCAACTCTAGTGTTTACTCCACTAGAAAGTTCACCAATGATTTGATGAGCGGGATGGTCTTTAGTCCATTTTGTCATGGGAGCTTGCACGGATGTTGGAGTGGTACAATCTTTCTCCTCTGGAATGTTTGGCATTTGGCTCGTGGTTGGTGATGATGGCTCTGCTTGCTCCCCCTCGGATGATGGTATAGAGGAACCAGGTTCAAAGACAAAGGTAAGATTCTCTGGCTCCGAAGGACTGGGCTCTAACGCAGAGCTTGAAGGCTCTGGTTCCAGATTAGCTTGATCACTAGAGGAAGCAGTTGCGTTAGAAGGTCCAAAGATGGTTGTGCTTGAAGTTTGTGGCTCTCCTTGAACACGTACAGAGGCATCTCTGGGTGCACATGCATAGATGTCATCATCACCAAAAAGTCTTAAAAAAGTTGCCCGAGTTCTTATGCCCTTGACTTCGATAGAGGATTCGAAGTCAATGGGTTAAGCTTGAGTCCAGAGCTGAAGTACTCTGAAGTCGTTTATTTCTTATCGTCGAACGATACGTTAATGCTTTCCATAACCGTCTTGGTTCTTATATTGAAGACTCTGTAGGCCTTGGAGTGTGTAGAGTATCCAAGAAATTTGCCTTCATCGGCCTTCTTATCGAACTTTCCAAGGTGGTCACAATCATTCAATATGAAGCATCTGCAACCAAAGACATGTAAAAATTTAACATTAGGCTTTCTTTGGTTGATCAATTTGTAAGGAGTTTTCAAATGTCTCTTAACCACGATTGTTCTATTTAGAGTAAAGCAAGCAATCGAGATTTCTTTTGCCCAAAAGTGGGTTGGAAGACTAGAGGTTGCAAGCATCGTTCTTGCAGCTTCAAACAAGGTTCGATTTTTCCTTTCTACAACACCATTCTGTTGTGGTGTTCTTGCTGCAGAGAAGTTCTAGGAAATTCCCTCTTTGTCAAGGTATGCTTCAATTTTTGCATTCCAGAACTCTGTACCGTTGTCACTCCTCAGCTTTTGAATTCTGCTCTGTAGAAGGACTTGAATCTTGGTCATAAGCTTGATCAGCAGTTCTGGGACATCTGATTTCTGCCTTACAAATTCAATCCAAGTATATCTTGTAAATTCATCAACAAGCACTAAGATATACTTCTTGCCAGACAGACTCTGCATTGAGATTGGACCACAGAGATCCACATGAAGCATATGTAGAGGTCTGACGCAGGAGACATCCGTCTTTGCCTTATGGGATGCTCTTTTTGAGTTTTCCCATTTCTTAGGAGGGACATAGATGGTCCTTTTTGAACTTTATTATTGGTAGTTTGTCAACCAAATTATTTTTCACAAGCTTCTCCATATTTGGAAAATTTAGATAAGATAGCTTGTGATGCCAGAGCCATGCTTCTTCACACTTTCCATACAAGAGACGGAGTGTCTCTAAGTCATTTCTAGGTGAGAAGTTCATAAGGTACATATTGCCCTTACGGTTTTGCTCTTAGCATTTCTTGACCTGATTTTGACAATATTGAACAAGAGTCCTTTTGGAACTTGATATTATAGCCAGAAGCACATAGTTGACTTATGCTTAGGAGGTTATGTTTTAGCCCAGAAACATAAGCAACTGTAGAGACAAAAACCTTACCTTGATGGAGATCTCCATACCCTTTTATTTATCCTTGCATATTGTCTCCAAAAGTCACCCGTCCTCCGGATTTGTCTTTGTAGGAAGAGAGCAACACTTTGTTGACGGTCATGTGCCTTGAGCATCCAGAGTCAAGATACCAGATGTACACATGCGACTTCTGCAAAACAAATTAGAGAGATTTAGGTACCCATTTCATGATGGGTCCTCGATGATTAGTTTTTGGAGTCTCAGATTTTGGCATGGGGAAGGGTCTGTCTCAACACCCGATTTACCAGACTTGGGGTCTGGCTTGCTAGATTTGTCCTTAGGATCCTGCTTCTTCTGGGTCTTTTTAGATTTACTCTTAGGTGACCCAGAGAGAATGCAATTAGGATTAGAAAGGTGTTTCTTTAATTAT